GGGGGGGGGGGGGGGGGGAGCAGGCTTGGCTCACCAGGAGCCGAGGGGCCAGCTCCATGAATTTATTCATGTTCTGTTGCTCTTTCCCTACGCTCTGGAATGAAGCTGCCATCTCACCAGGTCCTTATTGCTTCCCCTGCAGCTGTCACATTCAGCCAAGGAGGGACCTGAGTAGGACCGAGGCCTGCCCTTGTTACTGAGGCCAGAAGCCAACTGTTTGGGTCCAAGAGGGGAGACTGGGATCCAGGTTGGGGCCTGAGATAATTTACCCAGTGTTTCTCCAGCAACCAAGCTGGGAGACTCCAGTGAGGTGGTGTGGTTGGGAATGAGAAATAGGCAAAGAAAGGTGTGCAGCAGAGCATAGACAGGGTAGTAGGACTGAGGGCTGTGCTGGTGAGGGGGAGAGAAAAAAGAAAAAGCCCTAATGAGACCCCTGGACTCCCCCACTTAAGAGTCCAGCCTGAACTCTGTCTTAACCTTCAACTATGACTCTGCACTAACCCAGAAGCTAATTCCAAATTATTCACTTGACTCCTCTTCAGTCCTGCAAGGAAGCCTAACTGCATAATCTGACCCGAAATGGAACTCATCTTCTGCCCAGACACCTAGGGTTTTCCCCAGAATGTTCCCCAGGGCTACAGCCAGGTTGTGTCAAAGTTCTGAAGAGGAGCCTTTAGATTAGCATCAATTAGCATATGATTTGCATGTGATCTGTGCCTTGTATTCTGCAGAAGTTTTCATGTTAAAATTTTATGAAGTCTTGTGGAAAGGCTTGGAACTGGGGTTCCTTGAAGTTTGTGTTTTTTTGTTCCTTTCCCACACTCATAGTTATGGACCTAGACCACCTCAAGGGAAGAAGTGAAGAAAAGAGGAGGAGCAATAGAGGGTTGGTTGGAGACAAGACCCTGGCAGTTTGGTCTACCCTCACTCAGCTGCATCATATGCAGTGTTACCCCCACAAGTATCAATTTCCTCATCTGTAAGAGAAGAAAAACAAGTTGACAGATGTTTCATTCAGCTCTAAGAAGGCACCTTTATTCTTTTTTTGCATGCTCTATGGGGTTGCATGGTACCAGACCCCTGCCAAAGAGGGAAGGAAACTTTGCCCACCATGGGAAGGGAAATATCATTATTGAGCATTTGTATTGAGTATTGAAAACTAGAATTAATTTTGATCTCCTGGCTTCCTCTCAGAGTCCTGGAGAAGAAATAAATGACAACCCAAAGCAGTTAGGATGGTGAGAGAAACAGGACAGGAGTGGGAAGCACGATTTAAACTAGTCATAAGGGAGATCTGTGTGTGTGAGGCCAACAGGGACAGTGCTTTGGCTCTAAGTGTCACCCATCCCTCACCCTCAGCGCCTTTGAGCCTAAAGCCCAACAGGTGCTCAACTAATGGATAGTAGAAGTTAGCGGTGGGAAAGAGCTGTTCAAATAGAGTAGAATGCAGAAAAAAAGGAAGGGGATGGCCAACGAAGGCGATCCAGAGGAAACTTTGCTCCAGAGGTGAAAGGAAAGGAAAGTTGAGGACTGTTCCCTGAACTTGAACTAGGGCCTCGGGTGGGAAGGAAATAGTCGCACTTTGCCTTGGGTTGGAGAGGGCTGATAGGCCTCCGCGTAGGGCGAAAAGACCAGTGCGCGGCGGGACCCAGGGCTCCCACTTCTCTGCCCGTGCCCCTGGCACTACAGCTCCATTCAGCTTTGGGTTCACGGTTCACAGGACCGCACCAGAGATTGGGCTGAACACCGGGCAGAAAGCGGGTAGAGACTGCTTCGAGGGCGTCTGTCAAGTCAGAGCGCGTTGCTCACTGACTTCCGCAGCTTTCTACCCCTGGCCAGGTGCGCCTCCTCATCCTTCCTTCCCTCTCCACCTCCCTTTGAGGCCCCTTAGCCCCCACCGCGCGTCCGCTGCAGACTACAGTTAATGAAATGTGGCGAGCGGCCGCACAGACAGCTGTCAGACCCCTCATTTCTCCGCGGGGATATTGG